ACATGTTCAAAAGCCCCGTTTAATAAGCACATTGAACTCTAGGGATAGTTTCACAAGCACCACTACGCACTAACACGTTTTTACGAGCACGTTTTACGAAGCTCAACTCACTTAACACTGTTTTACGGGAACGGTATCACGAGTACGTTACACAAAGCACAGCTCATTAACGACGTTGTTGACACAATTTAATTACACATGTTAAGTCATAATTTGATACGAGTATGTTTACACAAGCCCACAAGCTCATGGCAGCCTCACCTCGTTATTAGCTACTTGTTCTCGTCAGGCTATAGCGTATATACTGTGCGATAGCCCTCTAATCCGCTACGGCACGCTATGAGCTACAAAATGGCCCCGCTTGTTGTAGTTACATCCTTATGACGAATCTTATAAGCGTAACGACATCTTATACCGCTAACGACTGTAACGTTAACAGCGTGTTGCACCGTAACAGCAACATCGGGCGAACACCGCGGCCAACAATGGGCCGTACATCGCGCGTAACACCAGGCAAATCAGCAACAGCCCGAATCCGAGGCAATGGACCAAAAGCGGTAGAAGGGGACCAAAATCTCAGAACCATCTAGCGAGGACGGATATATGCAGGAGCGCTGTCAAGTGCCCTCTAGCGGCGTCGGTCCATGCGCTGCGGTATCTAACACTTAGCGGCCGCACGGCACGATTCGTACTCCTAAACAGAGTACGTATATTTGAGCATACTCCGCAATAAACTGACACCGATTCACCGGTCTTCTTCCTTTCGTTTTCCTGGTATTGGGAATGGGTAATAAATCTTTCGAATGCGGAATCTTTCCACCATTCATGAAAACACACCAAACACGCGCACAAACTGACACCCGCACGCACGCAGGCACATGTGCAAGCGTGCACGCAAGTACCCCACGCACGCACGCAAGTACCCCACGCACGCACGCAGGTACCCCTTCCTCCCCGCCCACATACACACGTACACACACGCACACACATGCACACACACGCACGTACGCACACACGTACACACGCGCACATCCACGCACACACACGCACGCACGCACACACGTACACACGCGCACATCCACGTACACACACACATGCACACACGCACACACGCGCACATCCACGCACACACACGCAAGCACGCACACACGTACACACGCGCACATCCACGCACACACACACGCACGCACAAACGCACATGCACGCACGCTCGCCCGAATTGTCTGCGAACAACAAATGCGCGTGCACGTCTTCGCACGAATAACGCACTCATTCTAAAAATCTACGCGCAAATGAGTAGCAATCAAACACCTGTTACTGTGTATAAACCCAAATCAACAATTAACTCTATACACTAGTTATGATCACAGTAACGATCTAATAAATATATTCGCAGTGGCTACGCGTCCGTTAATCCATTACAAAACTCAGCACAGATTCCCAAAACACGTCACGATTAGGCCACGCAAATCGGTGATTTTACTGGATTTACTATTGCTTCAAAAGTTACAAAAACACATTTTTTTGATAATATGCCTAAAGGTAAGTAATATTATGGTAAATAATTTTTGTTTATTGTTTGTTACTGAAAAAATATAGTTGGGTTCACATAAGAAATATATGACGGTTTTATGACCGGACGCGTAGCCTGGGAGCTGGGCGTCCGGTAACCGGACGCGTAGCCACGGCCTAAATAAATTATATATGCGCTGGAATGAGAAACAGACGCAGACACGCTAGTGCAGCGGGTCGTCACGAGGGGGCGCTAGCTACTCGTATTCGGTGAGGATGGTGTTACTGCGGGTGTGGTACCTGACGACGAGGACGATGATGACGATGATGGCGATGAGGCAGAGCGTTGCCAGGCCAACGCTGACGCCGATGGTCACTTTCTTCCAGTCTGAAATGTCACGTTAATCGATGCATTAATCCTCTCATTATTCCTGCCCAAGTACACCAGAACGCACGCACGCACACACGCACGCACGCATGCGCGCACACACACACACACACACACACACCGTGATAGCTAGCAGACTTACAGTCAATCTTCTTGAAGCATCCCATCGTCGGATCTCCCTCCCATCCGTCCGCGCATGCGCACGTGAAGCTGCCTGGCGTGTTGATGCACATTGTGTGCTCAGCAGCGCATGTCACGCTGCCCGACTCACACTCATTCACGTCTGTAAAATACGCACACGTTACATGTTACACGCACGCACACGTTACACGCACGCACGCACACGTTACATGTTACACGCACGCACACGTTACACGCACGCA